GACTCATAGTGGTAATCGTGAAGACGCAATTATAGGTACTGAAGGTAGCAAACTGCAAGATAAAAATGAAAAGCACTTAGATGCACACGTCTTATCATGGGGTGTAATTTAAGTCGTTCTTCTACATGTTAATTGTAAGCAGCATGATCTCTCTAAAATGTTACGTTCAGCTTATATATGTGCTTAATGAATTAAATCAAAACGTGTACTCCTACGCAAAACGTGGACGAAAGCTCCTAAAGATGAGCTTTCTTATATACATAACCGAGCTAACTTATATACATATGAAGGTATTGCGTATGCATGCTAGTCAACTTTTACAATATTAATTATTTTTAAAATTTACCGAACTTATTTTATCATGGTCCATTCCGTGTTGGTCTATGTTTGTAGTTAAATTTAGCTTTGGCAAAGAGCGGTGTTCATGCTGTTTATATATACATAAATATTGGCTTGCGGAAATGTGCGCTTTGAAAGGTTAAGAGTATCAGTGTTTATGCCCAGGTAAAATTTATCCTTGAAAGCCCCTGAAATATTTTGACAGAAAATATCTCAATCATAACGAAGAAAATATTCTTCGTTATGACTGAGATATTTTCTGGCGGGTCTAAGGTAAGTCTTTTAGTAACCCTCAAGGGTTGCATAACAATTATTCATTTACTTTTACTCTTGTCAGGTATTTGGTTGTTGCGTAACTAAAGTCTAATTTAGAACAAAATGTTTACCGTAGGCAACTGAGACACGCCGGAAAACTGTAGCTGTCGTTTGCTAGATACATTCAGTCATTTATCCAGGGGGACATAACCGAATGATCAGCTGCCTCCTTCTGTGCGCTTCGCTTCAATTTTGTCTGGTATGACTCTCACTTGGATGATACGCGGCTGTGTTTTGTCCCTCGTCTTAAACATAACGACTTCTCCAGATTTCTTTAAACGAACGCCGGGTATTTGCCATTCCGACCAGCCGTCTATTGTTCTCGTCAAGTTGCATCAACTTTCTGCGTTCTTCCTCCAAGTGCTACTACTGATCGCTTTCTTCTTTGCTTGTCTTTCTCGCCGTTGTCGTTGTCGTGCTAATGTTGGCATCGTCGGTTGTCGGCGACTCCTTGTTTTTCCTCCTAGCTCCGGCTCCTTCCTCCAATTTCTCGGGGGCCAGTGGCCTGTTCTGGTACACCGACGCCGTACTCGTGGTCTTCGTTGATCTTGACGGCGGCGGCAGCATCCCTAATGGCCAGGCTGGTGCCGTCGCGAGCAAGCGACCGAGCACCTGAACGCACTCACTAACTGACTAAGTTGTCGGAACCAGCGATCCACAATGTAATGCAAGTGTAGCTGGTAGTTGAATGCGGTACAGTTGTTGTTGCTGCTGCTGCTGCTGCTGGCGCGACTTTTGCAGTTGCCGCCGTGCTGGTCGTTTTTATAATACGGTAATGCTACGACGTAATAGAAGAGCCGGCCGAATCAAGCGGCGCTCGAGTAGTACTGGTTCGTTCCCTTGCTTCTGCTGTGGAGCGGCGGCTACAGCAGCAGTAAACGTAAGTGAAGCAAACGACAACGTGGCCCGCTCTAACCACCAGCCGGTCGCATCGTCGGGTGCATCGTAGAGAGTCGCCACCGCCATTACCATCCTGCACCAGGGCGATGACCTCGGCAATAGCAGCGACAGCCAGTGCCCTTTTCCTGCGCGGACAATTCTGCGCATAGCATGCAGACAGAGGGTCCAAGTGACAGAAGCTCAGGGCTTGAGCGACATACAGAACATGGAGCACGTACGTACGCACACACGCAGACTGACCGACTGTACGCCGGCACGAACAGTAAGCTGCTGCGGAAGCTAGCTTCGGTGGTATGCCGTCAGCAAGAGGATGACAGAGCGAGAACCGAAGCTGCATCGCGCAGAGGCACTTGCATACGCATGCACGCACAGATATCTGCTGACTTGCTCGGACTGACCGCCCGTCCCAATCCCAGCACTTTCAAGACCGCTAGGAGAAGTCGAGAATTTTGGGACAGAAGGTCCCTGATACTTGGAGTCCACAATTTGCGGTCTGACTAGCGTCCGTAATCGCGGTGTTGAAGGAAGACCAGATGCATCGACCAAATAATCACAAAGAGAAAGAATGGGGGAACGAAGAGCAGAAAAAGCACGAGACACTAACTCTTGTTGCCACTGTGTGTACATTTGTCATTGGCGTTGTCGTACACGAGACAGCCAGCAACGTTTTTGCAAGGGTTGCCATATGCACAAGAACCGTCATGGACGTCTAGAATCCAATTACGGAATCTCTCTGCTAGTCGAAATCGGCCATCAGCGGCACAGGAAGGTCCGAAAGCAATAAACAGAAAGACAGTCCAGCTCAGCTCACTTTCTTCGCTGGTGTTATCGCACTTCGTTTACCAATGTTTCGCTTATGCTGACGCTGCTGGTTGCCACCGATTCGATGTTGTTGTTGATCGTCGATGTTTGTTGCAGTGTCAGCTGGCGGGGCCAGTGACCCCTCCAGAAGAACTGAAGAGTTTTCTCGACTTTAGCAAATCTGAGGGCCTCGCTAGAATCTCGCTTATTACGACTCTAATGAAATTGACCAACCGATAATGATAGCTGAATTATCGTTACTAACCGAGGGTAGTACCCGACGGTAGTTTGCGAACATTTTATATGAAAAAATACCTTAATGTTTAACGTCATTTGATGTTGTTATGTATTTGCTTTCTGCTTACTTGAATACCCTTATGCTACCATGCCATGGTATATTCAAATGAAATACTTCACCGAAAAAGCTTACGGTTAATATTCTCATAATTAGTTTGCGGGCTTGGAGTTCGTTCGGGCCATCGTTAGTTAACGTTATCGCTCTACGGTTCTTCGATAATACATTGCTCAGTTACTTTAATTTAACTAATCTAAGGCTAAACTCACACACGTAGATTATGCCAGTTGAATATGCTTTCGTCTGGAACGAGCTGTCGTTTTCCAGAGGCAATGCGATAAAGTCGCTCTCACGAGCAACGCTCTCTTAGGCATCATCCTTTTTGTTACAGGCCGCTTTCACTAGCAGCGTTGAAATGTTCCCCGCCACATAGCGATAAAGGTTGCGGTTCGACAAATTAAACCACGCCATAACAGTTATATTTTACCAAGATCGCGCAATCGTCCGCAGTTACATATTCTAACCTAACAACATATACATAGGTACACTGAAGGGAGCAATGCAATGGTCCAGTGACCAACTAAAAAACATCTACACAGAATGAGTGTAACAATACAGAATAACAGAATTCCCAACAGAATAACAATTCACGAGCTCAGAAGCAGGTCGCCATCATTTCAACCCAGTAAGTTCCCTATAAACTTTTCCTACTGAGTATTAATTACGAGAGCACTCGTTATTTTCGTTGTCCTTGAACATTCGTTTTTACTTTCTCTTTCTGCAAATATCTTCGATACAGTATCAGGACCCGTTGATGGTAGATGGCCCGCGTGGAGTGAATGGAAAATAAAACAGCTGTTGTCATTTTTTCCAATGGCCCCCGTAGGACCATTGTGCCAGTGGGTTCTGCGCAGCCTGAACCAAGTGTTCTGTAAGTGTCCTGACTGACACCTGTTGTCCCGACAAGCAATAATCAACTCCACATAGGGTGTCCCGATGGACGTTCTGGTCGCGCTGCCAGGCGCACATGCAAACGGGGTACTCTTAGCTGGCGAAACACTACTGAACAGAACAGCGGAACGGTGCTTTTGTTTACCTCCTCCATTTCAGCTAATGTGGTATGTTGGCTATTCGCCAGCCGAACTGATTCGAGCTTTCTCACCGGTACCGCTGGTGGTCTATTCGATTCTATACGAAGTTTGCTTTCCAGCACAGAACGCAATGGGTCTACGTCCGGATTCGAAACCATACCACCACCGATTTCTCGAGCTTAACAGGCAAACACGGGGGCCGTTAAAGCGACAGCGACTACCCCGCAGCAGTCAACCAACCCACGAATGGGTGAACAGTGAGAGTAAAAGTTTTGCCGTAGTTGAGAGAGAATACAACATGCTGAGTGCGCATCTTCGAAACACTGTCGATAAATGTGGCCCTAATAGGGAGTTATGAGTGACTGAACGTAATCTCACTGATGACTGAAAGAGGTCGAGCGCGTCGCACTATGCCGGCACGGCGTTTTGTGTTACTGGTACATACGTCAAGCACTAGCCCAGGTCAACCAGCTTGCTTCCTTATTGCTGTGGTGAGATCAATGTACATCCTTCGACCTCGCTATTACTTCGGAGTATTGGAGCTGCACATACTGTAAACCGAAAGTAAATCAAAGACAGGTCTACAGAAAAATAAATTTAAAACGACTGTTCCTCAAATCCAGGTGTTTGAATCCATAGTAGATATTAAAAGAGCCCACATCCCGTTTCCTTTTCAGGAAACGAGATGTGGAGCCCATAATGGATTGCCTGATTGTTTCCGTTGATATGTATAATGGAACATTATTTTCCAGAGTTCGTAAAATATCGCATAACTATAGCCAACTTAGTTCATTTTTATTATTATCAAAGCTTGTTAACTATGGTCCATAGTTTTTAGTAAATCTATCATATTCCCCTCGTATATATGTTTAC